TGTTTTGTCTACAAGAAGATCATTCCGAAGATTTTTACTAAGCCGAAGAAACCACAAAGAACCCCGATTGAAGAAGTTGATCTTTCCAATGTGCAACTTCCTCGTTAACCCTCGAAGTTGCATCTACAAGGGGAGGCGTTATAGTACAGAAGATTTACCCCTACCACTAAAGAAGAGGATCGAGTTTCCCTGGATCAGCGCTTTGCCTTATCCAGTCCTATTTTATTGTATTCAGAGTTAGTTAGTCTGTTGTTAGCGCTCATACTACATACATCAATAGAATTGTATTTTTGATAATCGAGAATAAATCTTTTTAAAAAGCAAGTAGACTGACTCGGTCAGATAATTCACTGGATAACCGTATGTGTCCAGCACGTCGCTACAACTGCGTAAACGGCAGGTCTAAACACGCAAAATTTCTAGCCCCCAATATTTTAGACATGAGCATTTACTCGTTTTCATGAAGCATTTGCTTGCAAGTATGAGGTAATCATTATTCATATTAAATGAAGCAAATGCTTTTACTTCTACCTTTTGCTCTGAGCATTTGCTTTTCCTTCTACCTTATGCTTATGAGCATTTACTTAATATTTATTCATATGGCCCAATATGTTTTTGCCTTCAACCGACAATTTTTGCTGCTGAGGAAATACAGTGCTGCAGTATGATGATAGACATAAAAAGAAAGAATAAAGAACATAACCTTTTTCATCATCAATCAAAGCTTGCGCCAGATCCTATGATTAATTTTATCTAATATTTTATTCTCATACATCTAAATCGTACTGTGATGATGCCGTAGATTACGTCCAACTTAGACGAGACGTTAAAATTTGCACAATAAAATGTTAAATATGTTCCGAACACAAGGTATGCTCCAACAAATACACAATGTTACTTATATTTATTTCCCTAATCCACAGGTTTCCTGGTGTCTTTATCCATGTGTTTTTACATCCTCGTATGATACAATAACGACTAGTGCTGTATTTTTCTTGTAAACTGGTAGGTTGTATCCATTAGGGTGTTCCAAAAAAATGAAAGTTCTTTTTTCAAACGCATATCCTCTATTTTTTCTATAACACTCTAACAACTCACTTTTATGCGTCGTAATGCATCTTTTAAGAGTTCTTACTGCATTGAATTTAATGAACCACATTAGACAAATCAAACAAATTTCCTGTTGTATTCAATTTTGAAAAACAACAGATACTGTCAAAATGTTCCTCATAGCAGTTCTAACGTTGAGATTTGAAAAAATATTCAAGATGCACTCGAATCAGAAACTGAACTAATATCATTTAAATGATTATTATATTAACTCTTCTATCTCCAATTTCCGATACAAATTCTGCCTCCGAGTTTACACCGATTCCATTTAATCACCATATATCTCCACTAATTTGGACAAGGAATAAAAAACAAAGAAACTGCCTTCAATTTCGTAATTGCTCCAATTAAGTCGCATTGAATACAGTTAGAAGGCAATTATCACCAATAATTTTGTTAGCTTTTTCTTTAATGTTAGGGTGCGCACATCCCCTAACTCTTAATTCCAGCTATCATGTTTAAATAGCTCCAGTTAAGCTTAAAAATGGTATCCAGATACATAAAAAACCGGAGTCAGAAATTGCATCATAGTTTTCTTATATAGTAATACAGTACAAAATAAATCAAAAAACGTTTAGGAGAAAAGATAATTACAATTTCAGTATTTTTCTCATCTGAAACTGATATAATAAGAGGTTTGAAGTCCCTACAATTATTTGTCAGGTAATCCTCAAAGGGCTGAGAAGCTTAGAATTGCGGTTAAAGACCAACACCAATTACAGATTTGGTATACCTATAGGGCTGTAGGATATCAAATTTCAAGTGGTATATAGGTACCGAATTGTCACGCGCGCTTTTGTGTGGCATAATAACTATACCAACCTTACAAAATATAGGTTTCAGAGGATTATGTCGGCATTTTTCAAGTGCTTTGAAGTCGGAAAATAATATTTTGACAATGTGGATTGGAGGTTGAACAACTGTAGTTTGATCCCATAATGATTAGACTGTTTTTCGCTCTCCGTGAAGTTTATTCGATATTTAGTTCTTGTTTTCAATTTTTATAGGAGAATATATATCGGATGTACATGGCGATTCGGGAAAACATTTCTAGAGTAAAAAATGTTTTTGAAAATAAGAAAAAGAAGTTTCTATAAACATAGCTCCTAAACTGCCCCATTACTAAAAAACAGGGTGTTTTAGTGTTGTAAATTTGATAAGACGGGATAAGGATAAAACATGAGAATTGTTCAAATAACTCTATGGTGAGTTAAGATTACTCCACTAATACACTGCATACAATTTCCAATGTCAAACTTCACCAACTAAGCGTCGGCGTCAAATAGGTTGACTCTGCACTTCCCACGCAACGCTGTCATCAGTTCATAAAGGATTATGTTCGTCCCAAGTTAACCGTTTGTATGACAAATATGTATAATACAATAAGTGCAAGCTCCGTAGTCTCCATCTATTTGATAACGCTAAACTAGTTTCCTTTCTGTCCTAAGTATCGACCATCTGACAACACTGCTGGACCCCAAATTCATGTAAAATGCAATATCTTGTTCACAAATGCAATAGATGTTTCAATAAAGTCGGTGGTATAGAAAATAATTTTTCTTCTGTAGGAACGAAAGTTTTCCCAATATCAACCCCACTGGCGAAGCCTGTGGAACGAACATTTTTGTATATATTGACTAGCTATCTGATGCTATTAGTATATAACATTAAGTCAGTATGTTAATGAACTCCTAAGATATATACCGGGGTCCTGGAAGTTGGCACTTTCCTTTTCAGATTCAGCTACGTTTCCATTACGAAATCTGATCTGAGGCAAAAAAAAAACCGAAAACGTAAAATGGAATTGAAGAAAAATCCCTATTCATCTGGTAAAGAATTTCTAGTACTCTCCTATCACATGTTTTGTTTGTAAGCCCTGTCTGAACTTGCCGCTGTATGATTCAGAAACACGAGTTTGCTAAACTCTTCCTAAATTTGCAACATTTCGAGCTGACTGGGTCTTAAGTTGTGTTCAACCAGACGGCTTTTTCACGATATAAACAAACAAATGTTGAATGTGCCAATTTCGGTTTTTCAAATGCGGTTTGCTTATAAACTAGGTTAACCAAAGCGCCGCGCGACAGTACATCATACGCTTTGTTGTAAGAGGGGTTTGTGGGAGGGGAGAGAGGCAGGGTCGTACTGGTCTATTTATTGCTTTTTGGAACCTAATATCTCGGTTATCTTAAAGCTTTGGTATAGGGTAAGTAAACTGTTATTTCAGACCAGCATAAAAGAACACAAAGTAATTAACAAACTTTAATCAAATAAAATAAAAAACAGTACAAGTAAAACTCTCGATTGGCCATTTCTCCCGAAGTGTCCGGGAGAGATGGTCATGGTAGTACGGGAATTTCAGTTTTTTGCTTCTCTTCTCTTTCTTTGGCCACATTTAAAACACACGTTTTCAAATTCGGTACAGTTTTCATGAACCAAAAATGAACAACTGATACATTGCAACCAGTAAGGTGGGTAGAGTATTAATTTTCTCCACACCCAGCGAAACTATCTTGCTCATTTTCTGTATCATTGTCTGAAACGCAGAGTATTGGTTCTTCTTCCTCCTCACTGCTTTCTGAAATATTTCGTACAACTTTTCGCTTCTTAGTTACCATTATCTTCTCAGACTTATTCTCTTTTATTGCTAAAATTTTTCTTTCTTAATTTTTATCTTCTCTACTTTGGCATCTTTTTCCTGGTCTTTGCCTTTTCTTAACTCTATACGACATTCAGAAGGTAAAAGAATGCCGACTTGCTTTGTTCTTTTTCTAGCTTCAACAACTCTCTGTGGTATTGCTGAAACTTGTTTCAGAATTTTAGAGGGTGTAAGTTCTTTTTTCTTTTTGAAGTTTTTCCACACTCTCGTTGCGAGAAGCACTAAAACTAGTTTCATTTGATTTTTGGCCTGTGGTTAGTCTTTGGCAGCTAGAAGTATTTTCTTCGGAAGAATTATATAGTACCGATTGATTAGTGCAAATGATTTTCTGTGCAGCAGATGGCATTTTAGATGTACTCGGTGTTGCTTCAAACACAGACCTTTCATTGTTGGCATTAGAACAGGTGATGTTACGGGTAAACTTCAGTATGTTAATAAACTTTGAGATGCTGTTGGATTAAGTGTTTTGTCTACCAAGCTGCTAAGAAATGCGTACCCCGGTATTGCAGTTGAGTTAAAAGGGAATACTCCTGTAGATTTAAAGCTTGCTGTATTATTTTCAGCAGAGGCAACTTTTACCTAAGCATTACTCAGCAACATTCCAAAACATAGTCTTGTAATTCGCGTACTAGTATGTTGTTTCATCCAAAGTCTGCATTGTTGCATTGTTCATAAAAATAAGTCTTCAAATATTTGAACACAGATCTGTCTGAAGGTTGCAAATAATGCGACGTGTGACTTGGGATAGATAATAATATGATATCATTAGCAACTGCATATTCTAACATTTTTACGGAATTACAGTAAGTATAATGACTATCTAATAGCAGTAAAACCTTGACCGGTGGTTTCCTTGGCACGAAGAGGGTTCTAAGCCATTCTAAAAAGAGAGCAGATGTAATGTAAGCTGACTTTTCTGACATCAAAGCTCAGAAGCATTACATCTGAGTATTCAGTTTTTTATTTTTTTACCTTTAAAAATGCAAGCAGGTGGCAAAAAAGTTCCTTCGGCGTTGCAATATCCAATAACAGCAATAGTTTCTCCTTTTTCGGTAGAAGTTATCGTAGATGCAGCTTTTGATTATTTTTTTGCTAAAACGTGTCTTGGCTGATTATTTAATTGCAGACGCGTTTTATCGATATTAAAAATACAGTTTGTTTTCCCATGAGGTCATTAGATCATTATCTGTCAAAACCTGCTGAAATAAGCGTCAACTTCTACTCTGTTCAAAGCTTAAGATCTAGCCACTGAAACTCCTTTAGACCCTCCTAGTGAAATATCAGCGTTTCTTTTCAAAAACATTTGCATCCAATCATAACTAGCTTTTTCAATTTTTTTGCTGAATCTGTGAGATATTTTTAGTCGCCCTGCAAAATTAAATACTATTGCCAAACATCATCAATAGAAATCCTTTACTTTGCATGGTTGTTATATGAGTGACAAAGTCTTTGTTCATTTGTTGTCCAAGCATAGAAAATTGCCCCATAGGTCCTTTTTTATCATTTTCACATTTGTATCTTCGTTCCAATGTTTTACGTGGAACGCCGTAACTTTTAGATGCAGAGCAGATGGTCATTTCCCCATTTTTAACAGAACTAATAGCGGCCTTTAGTGATTGTTCTGTCCAATTACCGCGCCCTGTAAATATTTTTGTATTGTAGACATTCGGCATCTGCAATGAAAAAGTGAAACATTTAGTTAAAAATTAAATTTATAAAAAGGTCATCTTTACCGGACCGCGTATGGCCATCTCTCCTTATTTGATCGGGAGAGATGGCCATATCGGAATAACAGTGAGGGACTCTGCATTAATTAGAATTTTGATGTTAGAATGCACAAAAACAATCATACATCAACAATCATACATCAACAATCATCAGAAGACATAAAATCTACAAGTTTCTATTGAAATATTAAAACATAAAACGTGAACCACTGAAAAATGTTTACACTTTTGGAAACAAATAAAGACATTTTTACCTAATTTTAATTTAATTTCACTTCAATTGAACTGGCCATCTCTCCCGGACTTAAACTATATGTTACGTTACTAAAAAACATGCTTATTATTGCCTGACCTATACGTCCCTATAAGACCCAACTTTGGGGACATCCTGTATAGTATTTGTTGTTGCGCAAAGATTGTTCCCTTAAGTATTCAATAAAAGTTTTGTTGTTGTCGAATGTGGAGTAGTCTCAATGACGCGCCTGCTTCCTAGACGATAAAATAATTCGATTTGGCGTTTGACGGATGACCGCACTTTCGATCTTCTATCCAGCAAGAGGCAGCGAAGTACAAAACGGGTTTCCATGGATTCCCAAGATCTTCCAAGAAGTCATTCATTTAGACTTTCCAAAGCACAGATCACTGAGGACATCGTTTTGGCATTGGCTCTCTTCTACAAATGTACTAGCGGATTTTGCTTCCTGAACTAATAGAACTACTCCTAAAAAGTCTTGTCCAGATTTGTAGTGGGTATGTACGAATACAACGTCAACCATCTTCAAGTCCATTTAGCAAAGACGCTGAGGAATTGATTATTGTTCATGTATGTGATGTATAGTCATTAAACAAACCAGGGCGCTTCATTTCCATATGATGTGTTCTCATTTCCAATATCCAAGCATCTCGATCTACTCCATTCAACACAAATTACTAAATATGTTAAGTACAGCTACCCGTAGTCCCCAGAGTAACAGAGGAAAAGTGAATTAATATACCGTATCCAAATTGTCGGAGATGAGCTTGAAGATATGCAAACAGATAAAAATCGTATCCGGAGGCAGCCTTAAGAGGCTTTTCGGGCCGACAACAGCCGAGATTTTATCAACCAAAATACAAATCGGTACCTTGTAGGATCGCCGCATCATACAGCTTCTTACACATTTAAGGAGATAACGACCACGGAGACAAGTGATGCCAGAGCTGTAGCATTCTTTTTTCAAAAGAGGTAAAGTTAGAATGACCACTAGAAACGATGTTAATCTTAAAGTTTTTTAACAAGCGTGCGGTTACAAAGCAGTTTATGAGGTGTTTCTAAAAATAAATTGTAAGGATACGCATTGGTCGCTTAAGATTTTCATTTTACTTCCAACACTAACTGTACATCACGAACAACCATGTCACTTATTTCCGTCAGTCTGTCGGCCTGTTCGCTATTTTTATAACCGCCTATAACTTGAAAAGTGCCTCTCGGATTTTAACGAACTTTTCACACAAGGTTACTGCTATGCCAAGGATGAAGAAGCTTTTAGTTTTTGAAAATCAGTCTAGTGGTGGCGAAGCTAGGAGCAAAAACACGAAAAAAGAAATAAAAAACGCTTAAACTATTTTTGTCGTTTCAGAGGCTGCGTGAATTTTTTTGTGGGGGTTGAAACTTGAGTTTGGGGGCTGTAGAGGGTAAGCGGTTGTGAATGTAATGTCTTTGGTAGTAGTCAAAGACGTTATATTATTAGGAAGTTTTTGATTCCGGTAAAAGCGGGAAAATTGAATGACAAAAGGCCGATGTATAATTTGAAATAACTGCAATCGTTGGCGTTGCGTGCATAATGCGATGCAGCATCGTCGTGGAGGCCACTGCAAGTGCAATGGGTAACAAGCTCCAAATGGTCTGTGGTGGTGTCACTTTTGTAAATAACATAACTGTTCTTATATCTACACACATACAAGTTGAGTCATTTATTTTAACAGTGAGTAGATCTGATCAAAAGAAATGCTTTTTTCCTTTAACATTTTTCTGGTAAAATTAAAGTAACAAAGTTATAGCCCTTTAGAAGTTTGAGTACCGCCCTGTCTCAATAATAATATTATGTGCTCGTGTTTGGCAACAACGGATATAATCCGCCTTATCCGTTCATCGCATCGGAAACAAAAAAGCGAAAGAATTTGAAACGATGTTTTTACTAAAATGTACAATTTTATTCAGTTGTTTTCCGTCAATGTGTCAGTCGGTAACGCGTGAGTGAATAGTGGTGTTTGTTGCGTGGCTCAAACGAAATAAAAAATGCACATGTTTACGAAAATGCTGAATTTGTGGACATGATTCTTATTTACGGGGGGGAGTCTTTATGCGGATCGGTTTCCCAATCGAGTGCAACCAACCCCTCGTGACTTTGTTAATGTAGTTCAAAGGGCTCGTGAATCAGGTGACTTAAGATCTCACAGGGGAGGGCATGCCGGTGCTCCAACACCGCACGATCAAATACAGGTCCGCACTGAAATACTTGTCGGGAGGATACTTTATAAAACAAGGTAACATTTTTTTTAATTCTAATTTTTATTTTTACATACATATTTTGGTTTATCTACCTTCTACAATCATTACCTGAAAATTAATGACTCAACTTCAAAGTCACCCTGTATATTTTTCTGTTTTAGGATCCTTAAATTTACCAGTCATTTCGCCTATCCTTTAATTTGTGTTACTGCGTCTATGATGATTCTCCGAATATTTCGTAGATTGACTCAGTACTTATGACGCATTAATTTACAACAGAGGCGGACTGACAAACTGACATAAATGAAGAACACGTATTTGTGTAATGAGTATATCTTTAAGCAACAGAAAACTTGTGAACCAAAGTTCGAATATTATCGCGAGTTTAATACTTCCATGGTTTAGGTAGACATAGATTTTGAAAATTGATAAAGAGGCGGGCGGCTGAGTTGCAGTTGTTTGATGTTTCTTACATTCGGTTGTCATATTGCTTTGATTTCAACACTTTCGCTTCACTGTTTGCATTCTCATTCATTATTATGAAGGCCATTTCCTTGAATTTTCTCCAGTGTCCGTGTGTTTCTTTGTGTAAGATCTTAGCGTGATCCCAAAGTATTCTGTGGTGCTTTATCCGAGGGAGATCTGCTATTCCAGACTTATTCGCTTCTCCCCGCTGTGTGTTGGATTATGTTCTTCTATTCTTGCTGGGAGTTGTCTTTTTGTCTCTCCTATGTATATCTATCCGCAGTCATATGATACCTGGTATATAGCATCCTTGGTGTATTGGTTATTATTCATAGGTTTTGTCTTTGTAAGGCTACTGCGAAGTGTGGTGTTCCTTGAAAATCTAGTTTAGATTTGGTATCGTCTTCCTATTCGTCTGATTGCATCACTTATTCACTCAACGTATGGTAGAATTGGTATATTCTGGGGTTTACTCCGCGTGTTTCTGCTATTGTTGCTGTTGTTTTCCTTCCGAACTTCATTAACATCAGTCTTCTTTGATGTGGTGGATTTCTTCCTGGACGTTTGCTTGCGTGTTGCAGATACTCTTTGCCCGGTCGATGAATGCTCTAATTTCACACTTCAATTGCTGAATCACTGGAACAAAAATTTAGGTATTATCGTGTATGTTTTGGTTTTCTATATACAATAGTTTCTATTTTGGAACTGTACTTTGTTAGCATCACGTCCAAGAATGGGAAGCTGTTGCAGTTCTCTTCTGTTCCAAAGTATGCAAGGAAGAAGAGAACAACACCCTCCCATTATATCTAATAAGAAATCGCTACCCAAGACAACTGATAAATGAAGTTCTGAAATATAAAATAACATGATTATTTTTCTATTTTTCTTATTAATAAAGTCACTACTCGTACGTAAAATGGTTAAAACTGGGATCTTGAGTAGTTAGCTTGTTCAACGGAGGAGGAGAACCTGTGTAGTATTCACAACTATTATACGAATATTGCTTGCACCTGTTGTGTTCAACGTTTTTATTAAGACATTTGCAGAGACAGCAAACCATTAGTCGTTTGAGATACTATAGGTATACATAAGTAATATCTCCACAAAATTTGAAGAACATTACATAATATTTTTAGGTTTTTACAGGTTCAAAAATTGCATTTTTACATAATTTCGCTCACGCATAGTACATATTGTATTTTTATGGAAAGGTAATCTTCTTGTAGTAGATTCAAACACCTTCAAAATGGAGGTTAACACTAGTTAATAGATGGACGTTGTTGACAAATCCGCTAAAGACAATTGAAATTTTAACATTATATTATTAGGTAATCAATAAAAGCTACAACAGCAGTAAATTTGAAAAGATAGCATTTGTGCTGTTTAGGGTTGGTTAAATATTTTAGATTGATTCAAGCAATAGTTTACGGAAATTTGTAACTATTTATCAGATACAACATCTTGTAACAGCATCGCCCTGTTCAGCATGGGAGCTACAATATGTTTTTTCTAGTACGCCGTGAAAGAGGAAATATTTATCTATTTTATTTTTGTCTCTGCACCTATTATGTAATATAGACAAATAAAGGTTTAAGTACACGTATATATTTATTTTTTAATCCTTCCGAATCCCCTTATTCTGATCATCGTTTTGCTTTTGTTAGTTATTTATAAAATATTGGTATTCAATACTCATAATTTACACGAGTACCCCGACAAATAAGTACTCATACTTGTAGTACTTTCGCTTAACACTCATTGCGTTTTCTCGGCACTCTACCCAGCTCTCATAGAAGGCCTCATGAGTCTCGAGCTGGGTACTACTGCGCCTCTGGCAGCTTTTGTTAGCCGTGGGCCCTGTGGCAGTAGTACCATCTCTAAGGTCGTACCTGTACGGCTGCGGCGGGCGCGCCAGTGTCCGTCCGGCGCCACCGAAACACACCTCCGCGGACGGTG